TCAGTGCGTTGTTTGAATTACTTTGTTATATTTAATGGTAAAGAACACAATGTTCACAGAATCTGATGTCTACATGACTCTGTGAACACGATGGATTGTTCTCTTGTGGAGAAAAGGGTCTGATAAAGGTGTCACTTTTTGATCAGACATGATTAAAATCACTATCAAAACTCAAAAACTTCGGCACAGTTTGCGAGGAACTTCAACTTGAGGGAAGGGCTGAGGTCGGAATCAAACCCACAGCTGCTGCAACAAGGACTAGAACCTTGTTCAAGGGGCACCTTGAACCACTAGGCTGTCAGCAGTCTCTGTTGAAACTCAAACTCAAGTATTCTTGCCAATTGTCAAAAACTTTATGGAAACCGAACTTAGAAACTTTTCAGTTATTCAACACTTTTTGTTTGAAAAAAAAAAAATAGCTGGTTCTTTTTTTGTTGCCATTTTGCTTTATTTCCCAGCAGTTCTTTGCAGAGAGAGGCAGGAAATATAGCAAGAATGGAAAAGGGATGACTTGGCGAGGCTGGAGGAAGTTAGATTTATCTTTAGGGGCCTCCAATGCTTTTTTCTTTATTTTCTTAAACCACTTTTCAAATACATCAGTTTAGAAATGTCTTTAGAAACATTGTAATAGGAAGAACAGTAAGCGCAGGCTAAATGAAAAGACAAGGGGGATAAGGAAGACACATGCTAGAGAAGGATGCAGGTCAGGCAATAATGTCTGAATCTTAGAATTCCAGTTTCTTTTCCCATCCATTACCTATACTGTTTTTCCAATTCAGGGTCGCAGGGGGGGCTTGAGCCAATCCCAGCTGCCATTGGGCGAAGGGGAACGCCTTGGACAAGGTGGGTAAAACACAGGGCTGACATGTAGAGACAGACAGACAAACATTCACATTCACACTCACACCTACCTACCGGCAGTTTTAGAGTCACCAATTAACCTAACGAGTATGTCTCTGGACTGTAAGAGGAAGCTGGAGAACCCACGCATGCCCGGGGGGAACATGCAAAGTCCACACAGAAAGGCCCTGTCCGACGGGGTATGTGAACCAGGTACCTTCTTGCTGCGAGGCAAGAGTGCTAACCAGTGCACCACTGTCCAGTCCAGATGTTAAAAGGAAATTAGAATCAGTGTATCACACTGGAAGCCAGTTTAATGCGGCTAAACCTTCCCTGTACTGTATGATGGTATATGAACATTCATCATATCACATGCAGCATCTCTTGTAGAATATTAGCTCTGCATATTATGTGCTGTGGGCCCCTCAGGTCTGCATCACTAACTATCTGGGTCTGTGTATCTGCAGCGGGGTAAATAGGCCACTCACCATCTGACAGAGCCAGCACCATATTGAGCTCTTGTTATCTCATTTAGAAGTATCCATATGTGCTAATTAGGACATCCTGACTCTGGCAAGGACATGAGATCGCAGAGTGGCTGAGTGCGGAAATGTGGCTAAGCAGGAGCCGGGCCAGCCAATTCGAAATCTGTGTGATGTAAGAGGTGCACAAACCAGACGGACCCTAAGGCAACAGAGTCCTAACTTACCTATCTATATGTATGTGTGCAGGCAGTATGACAAGTACAAGCTTTGATATTCCCTTTGTAGCCCGGAGACACGGATCTGCTTGATGACCCCCTGCTGAGAAATCACAAGGCGACGGGTCGAGATGTTGCTCATTCTCTTCTGTCAGGACTTTATAATTACGTATGAGACAGATGGATGGCTAATATACTGAAACATCACACTCAGATGAAAATTTGACGACAACATTCATATTTTTGATTGAATCAAAAGAAATTAAAGGAAAAAATATTTAAATAATGAGAAAACATGAATTCAGACACAGTTAATAAAAATAGTGAATACATAAAAAATAGGGCCAGATTGCTGTTCTTTCTCGGCTGGTTGCCTGTTAAATGCTGGTGGAACAACCTCTGCCAATTTAACAATAGACCACTGTCAGTTTCTGTGCTGAGCCTGCATGTGCTCATATTATAAGACTATTAATCATGAGAGGTGGGCAGTATGACTATATTAGAGTGCTGTCAAACTGTGCCTTTAATTTCTCATCTATTATCATGGTAACTGCATTGGTGTTTTTTGAAATATGATTTTTGCACTAATGACATGTCACCTTCTTTTCAGATATTATATTCACAGGTAAACAAAAGAAAAGTGTGCAATCAGTCTTTTCAATGAATAAACGTCCAAACGACTTTGGGTGCAAGTCGTCCAAATGACGACTTGCACCCAAAAGGTGTTAGTCTGCTGTTTGGGTTGAGTCTCAGCAGCCTCAGAGCCCCTTTCACACATGCACTCTGGACGCTGCTGAAGTCACAATGTTGTGTTTACAACAGAGTTGGATGCCGATGAAGACAGCGCCTTTAAACCAATACTGAGTTTAATCTGACATAGTCACAGTTTAAACAGTAGAGAAGAGTGAAGCAGTTTTATTAAGTGAACTCAGATCCCATCAGTTTCTCACCGGTTGCAGGATGTAAATGTCATTACACAAACTTCACGCTGGTGAATCATTTTCATGAATATTACCTGCTGCGTTCACACATCGCCTAACCATGACTTTTTATGGGAATTTAACAAGGAGGCTGGCAGTAAAAAGTCTGAATAAAGTTGGTGAAATATTTGGCCATTTCAATCACACATGCACCTCACCAGGACAATTTTTATGAAATGTTCAGAAAGTGCAGTTGAAGTGTGAACAGGGCTTTATAGAGTCAGGCTCTAAATCAAACAGTGTTATTTACTGAAAGTAGTTGCTACAATGTCAGCCATGGCTTTGTGGACTGTCATTTTGAAGCCTTGTTTATGTTACTTTGCCATCTTTTATGTGTGTTTTTTCAAAGATCAGCATATTTGTAAAGAAGGGGTGGAAACATACTGCTGTGTCTCTTTATTCTGGCTGATAGATTGCTTTGAGACAACTTTTCAAATGCAATGTAGCCATGTTAAAGCAAACCCTACTTTAGAAACTTCATACTCTAAATAGGACTGTAATTTAGAAAATGAACTTCATACAGTGTTGATTACTTGAAAACTTGAAACTGCCTATTAAGACCATAAACTCACTAAGTAGATGCTTAGGGAGATAATAAATCAAATGAGAAGTACAGTCATTTTCTCCAAGACTTGTAAACAATGCACTCCTTTCTGCACTTCACATCTGCACCATTTTTCAGATCCTAAAAACAGCCATGAATTGAAAAAAGTGTTTTTTCTTTTGCAACCAAAGAGCAAAATATTTCCCCTCAGGAGATCAAGGACACTAAAAGCAGAGCCAAAAAGGGAGTTTTTATTGGACTAACACTAACCAGAAAGACAAAATCATGCCTCCAATGAATGGTTATCTTGAGGCATATGTGTGCTAAATGTGTAAACCAAGTGGAAACTCCCATAGTTGAAAAATGAAGCAAAAACCATCAGTTCCACGAGTGTCCACTTGAAAAGCTGGTTACAAAAACCAGGGAATCCTTTAATGAAATTGACATATTAACAATATAAATATATATGGTTTTTGTCTGGGAAACAAAAAAAACACAGAGTCTTTATTGCTAATTTCTTTATTGGTAAAGAGTAATGTGTACGGGGGGATATATTAAAGCTAATAGGTATGTATATATTTGCATAACTGGGGGCGTGGCTAAATTGTCTGACAGGTGGCTTTGTAGCTGTTTGCCAGGAGGCATAAGGCCCACCTCAACGCTGCCTATTTGAGTGTTTCTAGATCGATTACTAGACGGTTGGGGTCAGCATTTCCAATATGGCGACCACCATCTTTAGCTTCAAAACGCCTCTTCAGAATTCAATGTGATGTCACTGAGAGTACGTTTATTTTTTCTAAAGTCTACGGTGTACACAAGCAACTGTTTGCTAGCCTATTAAAAATATCTGCTGGTTCTTCATCACATGTTGTTGTAGCTTGTCTTCCAAAGTGTCCAAAAATAAATAAAGAGTTTTCTAATAGATTTAGCAAACAGTCACTTTTATCACAGTATGGGGAACATCCATTTAATTAAAGAGGATTATATCTCAATCCCCCATCACCTGCCTAAATTAAACAGTAACTTCATAGCAAGAGCAAATTCAGCTTTGCATCCATTTAGTGCGAATGTTAGTGTGTCCATAGATGTAGCCCTCCTGTGAAACACACATGAAATATATATATTTATACATATGATATATGGTTAAATCACCCGAGCTTCGTTTCATCTTGAACAACAATCTTTCCCAGCAGCAGGGACTGGACTTCTCATCCTCCTGCTGGGATGGATGAATCTCCTTCATCCTCCTCTGCTGTTATTCTCAGTCGTTTCTTTTTTTTTTTTAACAACCCATTGTTTTCAGAGCTCCGGCTATTTTCTTTGAAAATAAATGCCTTGCTGTCTTCAGTTGCAGAGGATTATGAGCCACAAAAACAGCTGTGTTATTCTATTTTGGAAAGAGAAGAGATCTTGATTGTTCATCCTGCTTTTCTAATTATGAGCGAGTTTTTTTTCTGTCCGCTTAATCCGTAATTTATGGTTGTATATAGTCAGAGATTATTTTTTTAATGCAAAAACAACAAGTTCGACCTGACTTAAACCCTCTGTTTGGCTTCACTGACAGTTTAATATTATGACAGTATTGAAATACTATTGTATGTACTCAATAGGAGAAGGGTGCTTACCTTTCCACACAGCGCTAGTACAGTAGAACGCATGTGGTTGCCTCAGCAGAGTGAAGTTTTGCTCAAGTATTGAGGAGAAATCTCTTGAAGCAAGGCAATGATAGAGTGGAATTGACAGGAGTGGCAAAGGACAAAGAGGGGAAGGAGGTCGAAAAAAAAGGGACATAAAGAATGGTGAAAAATCTCCCCCTTAGAAAGCCAACGACTCCTTCTCCTTGAGTGCTATACTCACTCATCTGTGTATGTCACAAACCCCACCTCCCCCAGTACTTCTCTCCTCCCCTCCCCTTCCCTCCCCTCCAGTCTCAGTCTTTTGCCAAGGAAGCCCAGGCAGCGTTTAATTGCAGAGTGCAAAAGGCTTTAGTTGGGCTAATGAGCTCAGCACCGGAGCTGGGACTCTTCCACGCACTCTCTGACGGACAGAAAAAAAACATACGGAGTCCTTCACCGGAGGAGCTTCACGGGGCGGCTGGATTTGAGGTGGAGGGGAGAGAAGGAATTTATAAACTCAGGTACAGCCTACTATGTTTGAGAGAATGTACCAGAGGCAAGAGACGGAGTAAGAGGTGGAGAGAGAGAGAGAGAGAGAGAGAGAGAAAGGAGAGCGGGAGAGGGGAGGGGAGGAAACGGGAAATACACAGCCAGAGAGTGAGTGAGAGAGAGAGAGATAGAGAGAGAGAGAGAGAGACACAAGAAGCCTGCAGCAGCAAATGAGACAGAACAACGAGGCGGGAGAGGTAGAAAGAGAGACACAGAGGGAGGTGGAGAGGGGCCCCTTGTAGGAGAGAGGGCTAGAGGGTGAGGAAGAAGAAGAAGGAGTAGAAAGAAAGTTAGAATTAAGTAAAGAAAAAGAAGGTCCAGGGGAAGGGAAAGAACGGGCAGCAGAGATTAACAACTACAGGAGAGCAGGAGAAGGGAAACAACAGACAGGAAGGAAGGGGAGGGAGGGAGAAGTCTTGGGCAGAGCAGGAAAAAAAAAAGAGCTGAAGAAAAAGTTTTTCTTGTGGGAAGACGCAGATGAGGAAAACAGAGCGAGTGAATGACTGGGCTGGAGAGAGCAGGGACGGGAGGGAAACAGCTCTTTTCTAAGGCGTTTTCCACACGAGACACTGGACATCTTTGGACATGTACACAGAAACAACGGGACACCATCGATTCCTCCAGCACATCAACACCTCCGCCCCCTGCTCCTGCCAGCACTGCGTCCACTATGAGGAGCCGTTCCACCATCACGCTGGGCTTGGATACCCACCAGCGGGATCAGCCAGACAGACGGACCACCCATCTCTGGACTGCAGGAGAGACTTACAGGCTCCTCGGTTTAAAGACGTAGGAGGGAGAGCTTTCCCAGTGGACGGATTTGAGAGAAGTGGTCATCGCAGCCCACAGAGGAGGCCTGTGTTTGCAGGGCCGGGCCCTCACAGCCAGTCAGGAGACGACTTGAGCCAAGTTCACCCCTGGGAGGTGAACCCTGCCCAGTGGAGCTACCCGCCGGAGCCTGGGGTGAGACACTACCCGTCTGTCAGAGAACAGTGTGGCTGTGTGGTGCGTGGCGACTCCTGGACACACCCCTTTAACGCCGGGATACCACATCCTCTGCCTCATCTTCAGGGCAAAGGTCAAGGGTACAGGCACAGGAGGACTATCCGGTATGTTTCAGTGGATGAGGAACGGGAAGCCTATGGATGCAACTGTCATTTGGAGTCGCACAATTACAATGTGGGTCATTCTAGCATGCCAAATGGCCACTGTGGACCAAGGCCTGTGTTCTTTGAGGGAGGGGAGGGAAGAGATAGCCATCAGGACCCGGGACAACTGAAGGGTGGATCAGAGGAGGGCTGTAATGGACGTGAAGACGCTCACAAAGGGTTTTTCCCCACCGAAGTCCCACAAAAACAGTTAAAGCAGAGCAGACAGAAGGGGCCCTACGTCCCTCCCTCTGGCATCACCATCCCAGAGCCCCCAAAGTCGACGGCATCCAATGACGACCAGCATCAGCCGCAGAGTTCGGAGGTGGTGAAGCAGAAGAGAAGGCAGGATTTGGTGAGAGATCAGATCAGACAAGTGGTGACGGATCTGGAGGATGTGTTGGGTGGGCTGAAGCAAGTTCATGTGGAGATGAAAGAGGTAGGAGGGTCTATTATTAAAGACGTTCATTCTCTTTGTTTACATCAGGTGTCCACACATGAAGGTCTGCGTCAGGTGCAGATATGCCAGCCCTTTTTGTTCTCTGTGACATTTACAGAAATGAACACAAAGCTCAAATACCAACATCCATGCAAATCATTTGCACACAGCTTTGTGCGTGCATGATCATGAGAGCATATCAGTACGTGTTCTTGCTGACTGTATTGTTTGTGACTCACTCATCATCTTTTTACCGAGGCAGTGATCGAGAGCAATTTTGCTCTGACCTTTTGCAGAATGCTGGCGAAAATTGGCAGTGTTCCGGCCAGCACATTAAAACACCCGGGCCTGAGACTGTTACTAAATTATGCCACGGTCTTACAGTATCCATTTTGCATGCAGCTGTAAAATAGCACTGATTCCCAGCTGAAGGCATCTATAAAATACCTGGCGTTGTCCTGAAGCAACATTAATGCCATCATTTTGAGTTTGACAACTAAAGATAAACCAGCTTTGATTTCTGTGATTGGATACATTTTTGTATTTGCTTCTCTTTCATTTCAGAGACAAACCGATGTAACAAGTACTCAGATCAGATCAATACCACAAAGTCAAACACTCAAGTAAAAGTCATTTAAACCTACTTATGTTAAAGTACAAAGGTATTAGCTGAATGGATTCAGTAAACATTGAAATATGTAAACATTGAAAGTACTCATTCATGAAAAAATGGCCCCTATCACTGGCATACCATCATTTATGACATTGTTAAATCAATACAGCTGCAACTATGAATACTCGTTTCTATTTTGTTATTGATTGAGATGAAACCATAGACTGTATAAACATGGACGTAGTCTCTTTGATGTCATCCTTTGGTATCTAAAGAGGTTTTATGAAGCAAAATGATGGCAGAAATGCTACCTCAACCTATCTTTCAATCAATGTAGTAACAGGTTGAGGTGGAGTTGAGGCAGGGTTTAAACCTCCTGTCAAACAATGTGCCCAACTTTTATGATAACTTGGCCTCACCCCACACCAAGTAAATGCATAACGCTTAGCATCAATTGAACCAAACAAAAAATCATTCCTCGTTCAGTTTTTACAGTTAAAGAATGATCCATAGCGACTACAACTGTGACTTTCTTAACAGACTATAAACACAAAAATATGAATTTTAACATTGGACCTAATGAGGATTCCTTGGTTTTTAAAGTCAGCACCAAGTGGTGACTGGAGGAACTGCAGTTTTTTCACTTCCTCACTGGCTTAATTTTTCAATGGAGGTTGGCATATGGATAAAGATTATTTTTGTCACATACACAGTTAAATAGTTTATCTAGTGGTTGTTAACCAAGGAGTCAGGGCCCCTCATTGGGGTCACAAGATAAAACTGAGGGGTCGTGAGAGGTCTTATCCGTTCAAATAAATCAAACCATCAGGGAAGGTTTAGAGGGTAAACAACACTTTGGAGGCACAAGGGGCTCCTCACTTGAGAAGAGTAAACAAAAGGGACATTAAGCGCAATCTAAGACTGGAGTTAAATGATCAAATGTCCACTTGAACTGTAGTGGAGTCTAAGTATGATGTGAAATTAACTGAAAAGTAATGCTGGAGTGAATTAGTTTCTTTCCTTAGCTGCTGTTTGGACACAGGTATTGACTCTCTGTATTATCATTCAGGTGGTCCAGCAGATCGATCGTCTCACAGCCAGTATCGACCTCAATGAGGAGACACCCTGCATCACTCAGGGGTTCTCTGGTAGCTTTCATGGCTCAGTTCCTCCAGGTGACCTCAAGGTGGCTCTTCTGCCCAATCACAAACCGGCTCCTGCACCAATGTCGCACCAAGTCGATGAAGAACGTATCATCTTAAGGACTAACTCGCCCTCACCTGTTCACGTGGCTTCTGTCGTCAAAACCAGCCGCTTCACCCCACCGAGCCAAAATAAGGACATCAAGCACGAGAGGCCTGGTGTCAACGGCCACCCGCCTCACCTGTGTCCTCCCAGAGACTCAAACCACGTTGGACAAACTCATCCAGACCCTCCTCCTCACAGCCTAGACCCCAAAGTCATTATTGGTAACAGCACCTCAAATTCAAGAACTCAGAAGCCGCCACTGTACCCACAAAATGGGCGATGCGGCAAAGGCCCATACCTGCCTCCAAAGCCTGTGAGGACCCCTGCCTACCCGGGGGGGAGGGGCCGCCAGAGTGCCAGCATAGTGTGAAGAAGGGAGGGGCCGTCTGCCCCGATGCCATGGGGGCCTGAAACATGAGACCCTGCTGCAGCAAGTGGAGGTCAGAGTGGGACCAGGCAGGGGAACAACTCATGGTAAGTATAGATACAAGAGGACTGGTTGTGTTTCCCCCTCTCTTCTCTTACAGTGTTGATGTTTCCGTCAGAGCCGATGACGTCGGCCGTGTTTACTGGCAGGAGTGGTTTTCAAAGTCAGTAAATGAATTGCAGCGTTCCTCCCCGTGACAAAAAAAGGTTTATGTGTGTGTTTGATGTATGTGTGTCTGTGTGTGGGCGGCAGGCGGAGGGGGCGTAAAGTGTCTGCTTTTGTTGATGTCACATGATTTCCCAGTGTGCTCTCTACACTGTAAAACGTGTCTGTCTTGGCAAGTGAAATAAGACACGAGTGTTTTTTTTTTTATCCTAATCAGTCAGCAGGGAGAAAATTCACGCTAGTAAAAGTAAAATCCAAGGTCTTTTAGTAGAGTTGAGGGATTTTTTTTGCTTTGCAGTACAAAATGAACATTTGGTTAAAGGCTTTATATGTGATTTTTCACACTTAAATGTAATAGAAATCAAGTATATCCTCTGAAAATAACTCTGTGAGTTATGACTGTCTACAATGGGTGTAACACCCGAGTCCCACTGTCTGTCATGCTTTCAGAGTCCTATCTTCAGTTTGTTTACATCGCCGGGACAGCGGCTGACTCCTCCCCTCGCCAATAAAAGTTGTTTAATTGAGGGACTAGAGAAAAGAAGAATAACATACTGTACTCACTGATTAACTGTGTTTCTAGATCACGCTCATTTTGGGTAAATTTACATGCAGTGTGACGATATGAGCTTAATAAAGATCGCTAGCATTAACATGCTAACACAACAATGCACCGCGAGTTGTTTTGGTTTCATGCTGGTGCTCAAGGGCGACATCCGCTGGATCCAAAAATCGCATATAAAGCCTTTAAAACATATTTTATAACATGACTGTCAATATAAGTTGAGTTCAAAATGAAAGGCCTTAAAACTTTTCATCCATATAGTATTTCAATGCTTTAATCTCTTGATTTTGAGGTCAGACAAGAGGACAAATCCAACTTTTAAGTCGATTTGAGTGATTCCTGACCTTGCTGGAGTTCTGAAGCCAGACAGAGATTAAAAAGCTTTAGACAGACTTCTTTTTTACAGTGTAACTTAGTCACCACTTCGAAGGAACTGAGACTTGGCAGGCACCCAGAGTTTTTTTTTGGAGAAGGACGACCCCACAGCGGCTCGGGTCCAATCATGTGACACAAAAGAGGCGTCATTATATTTACAGGATGATCACAGCTCTGACTCAGAATTGGCACCACTCACTACCAAAGGGCTGATGAGGAGGACCCAAAGCTTTCTTCTCTTGCCACTGTCAGATGTATCATTACTCACTGACTGGGAATTAGAAGCAGACTTAATAACAAGATGACATCTGTGAAAAAAGTCCCTCCAGGAGATACGGAAAATTGAACAGCAGATACATACAGTCAATTATTCCTCCAACACAAAAGTCAACTTTTACAGATGCTGCAGAGACAGACGTGCATGTTTCATTACTTCCCTCTTGTGCAGAGTATGCGTTACTGCAATCTATTTTTCTGGCCTTTTTCTGTGTTGGGCAAGCACAATCTGGTTTTAATCATAAAACCTCCTGGCCACGTGCCAGAACGGAGTGAGGCAAACTCTTGGTATATTTGTGACGTGCTCATAAACATAAGCACCGCTGCACAGTGAAGGAAGCTGTTCTCCACATTATGCTGCAGGGAGTGACGCGATGCCGAAGCTGCAGCCCTCAGGTTGAGGCTGGCAGCCAGAGAAAAAGTGCATATGTCTGAGCTTTGACTTTAATAGAGAAATAGGAGATTAATTAGCTGGAAGTATAAAGTAGATTTTCTGTTCAACACAATACTTTCTTTTCACTTTCAAAGTCTTTCAAAGCACCGCTGCTGTTAACATTTGAAAGGCCTGAATCATCTGAATTAGTCACCCAGAGCAGGTTCAATGTTAAATAGCTCACAACAGATTTTGTGCTAAGCACCCTGACACACACTAATATAGACACACACACACATTTTGTAATTTGTAATCATCCAAGAGTCTTACTGATTTAATGACTACCCTGACCCTAACTAATCTAACCCTATTACAGCACCTTCCCTCAAGGAGCCCTTTGTGATTAAAATGATCAGCGTATCCCCACTAGCTTCCTCTTATTTGTTTCATTATAGGGTGTTGACTTTAAACAAGAAGACGTCGGTCCAAATCTGCACATGAGCATCAGCATTAACAAAAAGCAGAACAACAAAAGAGAAATACGCCAAGATAATATGAATTGCATCAAAAATAAATAAATAAATAGAAAGCGTAATAAGTCATTTGAACAAGACTTTATTGCCGCACAACCCCCGCCCCAAAAACAAAAAACCAAACAACAACAATAAAACAAACAAAAGAAAACTCTCTGATTATGTGATTTGCTATTTCACTTTTCCACAAGTTTCACTTTACCTGAGTCAAAAAGTTTGGACTTGCTGGGGGGGGGGGTCAGGTTTTATCCCTGTGCAGTAAGAGCACCTGTTTTTGCAGCTTGAGCTAAAATCTACCTAGCATTTGAAGTCTGCTCAAAGATCTGATGTTGATGACAGGCAAGGCAATAAAGCACTAAGCTTTTTAAACAATGTCAAGATTACTTTTTTTTTCAAGGCTTTATTGAAAGGACAGGTCAGTGTTTAGAGTTTGAAAGGGGGGAGTCAGGGATGACATGCTGTAAAGGCTGAGGATGAGAGTTTCAACCTGTTGCTGCCGCTTTGAGGGCTTTAGCCTCCGTACAGTACATGACATTTTACCACTGAGCTGATCATGCGTCCTGCACATGGTGTCTTAAAGGCAGTCTCCACTATGCTAAATGTGGACGACCTGGATAATCTTGTCATTTCAAACAATAAATATCTCAGTATGTACAATTTAAAAAAAAGCTGAGCCCTCTTGCACGTAAAGGATCAGCCAAGCTCCCCCACATTTATTCAACTTTGTACTAAATATTTCTATCCATGTCCACAACACCAACAACATCCTCTGAAGTAGCTTCTTTTTAGATCCCACTAGATACCCGTTAGAGATCTAAGCTTTAATAGCTTGTAGCATCAAACACGTCATGAGGCAGAGCTGTCGGTTTCAAGAACAAGCAGATTTTGCAGCTGCATCTCTGGAATCTGAATATAATATTCAACAAGTGCAGACACTTGACAATATGTAGACCTACAGACGTTAAACAGATGGAGACTAAAGCAGTTAAAGATTGGTGGAATATTCCTTTAATATTTTGAAATGATGTACTTTCAATGAACTGGTTTACTTTATTTAAACTCAAACTGTACTTATTTTTTTACAGATACCTGAGATGTTTATTTGCTTGGTGTTTTATTTTGGACTTCAATGACTTCAAAACATGCAGACTAGCACAAACATCTTCACTCTTAAGGTCTAGTGCTAACTTTAGTCTTCATGAGTACAAAAGCTCCTGTGCAAACACTGAGCAGGTGTGATGACAAAACCCTTCAATAGAATCAGCTTTATGTTGCTCCTTGACAAGTGATGCAACATGACCCCACACAAGGACACACACAAACACTGCTTCACTCTCCGTGCAGTACAGATGAAATCCCTGTTTCCATGGCTTCATCAATAAATAATGTGACAAGTATCGCAGCCTTGAGAAGAAGCACAGTTTGCACGTACAGTGTTTGATTTCAAAGCAGTAGCAAGTCTATTGAGATTGAGATCAGAATTCAAATATTTATATATATTTTTTTGTTGTCCTGATGTTTCCAGGAGGAGCTGATGCCAGCGAGACGAGCTGTCAGCCAGTGGAAACAGAGCACGGCCTGAAGGTGGGGGTATTTCCAAAGGGAAAACTCCCCCCAAGAGTCAACCCACGACTGTATGTCACACACGCACAGAAGCATAGAGGAGGGGAAGACAAACGTCTCTGGAGAATATCTACTTTTGCTGTTTACTGGGTGACGTAGTGTCAAATGAAATGTGAACTGCTACTCAACATCCACCAGTAGAAACATAAACATATCTCTTCATGACAGTGTTTATTTATTTGTACTGTTTTATAATGCAAAGAAATCTATTTTCAGGCAGCTTACACCTCATGTATGCTATGTTAGGATTTACAAAAAAATCCACAATATTGTAAAGATATTTTACAAATAAAGAGTTGAGACTTTTTCTGTTCTGTTTTTTTTATTTTGTAAGAATAATTAGCACAAAGACATGAAGGTGGGAACAGCAAATCTAAAGTGAAATAGCAATAGATGGATTTTCATGCATTTTTCTTGACTCTGGAGGTGTTGAATGGGCCAATGAAAGTCCTACATTTGGATACAACATTAAACGAAAGACGGCAGCATTGCATGGCCCCTGACTCCAGGGAATGATTTATGCAATCACTTAGTCTGTCAGATGTTTCCCAAATGGTTGTGGAAGTTGTACGAAACACTTATCGGGCTGAGCTGGAGATGACAGCGTGTGATCTCTCATGGCCTTATTCTGTCAGGGCGCTCGCTGTTCTGTCCCGGGCCAGTCGGGGCCAGCGTCAGCGTCTCTTGTTTGTTTAAATCTTGTCTGAGACTTTCCCCACTGTGCTCCCACAACCTCCTGCTGCTGCCATCAGAGCACACCGCTTCCACTCTGACAACTAATATAATTCATCCGCCTCACAACACATCCCTCACTTTTGTCTGCGTCTGTGACGAGGAGATGGAGGTGACAGATGGAGGTGACACATACAAGCTGCTTACTGTCCTGGCTACTTTGTCCCTCACGCTCTGGGTCTGCAGTCATCCAGCAATTTAGAGTCACTGGGTGTGTTTATGTTAGGTGAAAGATGAGGTTGTGAAGAGTTGACAAGCAACCAAAGATAATAGATGGGCAAGGTGAAATAGGCCAATGCACTATTCTTTATTTGGTACCCTGAGCACCCTATGTCACAATGTCATATTTGGGTGCTAGCCTGTAAGGATTACTTTAATTATTTATTAATCTGCATTAAAAACATAGGGCAATGGTGGACAAATTCCAATCCCAGTTTCCTAGAGCTCAATATGACAGCTTATACCCAAAATACAAGCCGGGTTAGGTTTAAGGTTCTTGAGGAGTTTGCAGCTGAAAGAGTCAAATGATCAGGAAAATCCCAAGCGACATCTATGTACTATACTGATACAGTCTGAGTGACATCATGGACTGGTTTCTGAAGAGACATTTAGAGGCCAATGATCCCAGTCACCATATTCAAAAAGCTTTTTTTCCACTTAACTCTTATCCAGAAACAGGGAAAGAGCTGGAGTTCAGACCTTAAGCCTCAAGGCAGATGCAAGCAACTATAATGGCCCATCCAAGACCCAACAATAATCCACCATGAGTACAGCACAAAGCAACATTTAGCAAAGTTACATTTGCAGGGAAAGACTGTCTTTAAGAGGCAGAAACCTCGAGCAGAGACGGACTCACGTTAAACAGCAATCTGCCAAAATATACCAAAGGATAACATTTTCAGTTTTTGTTTGTCTTGCCTTCACGTTAGCCTTTCTTGTCTCATGTTGCCTCTGCCTTGTTGTCATTACTTTGGTCATCATCTCCGTGCATTACCTTGTCACATTTTTATTTATCGTTTCTATGCTGAGCTTTCATTTCACGATAAATAAATAATGAATGAGCTAATGTTGCAACTACACTAATGGTCCATTACTGTATTTGAACACCAAGACATGAACAATGACCAAAACAATTTGAGCCTTAATCTGCAGCTCCTCACAGCTTTATGGAGCCTTAAACAAGTTTCATCTTATTAATGGGATGTAACAGTTGAGGTTCACTCTCACTGCTCTTAAAGAATTGTGATTGGTTACTGTACAGAGCTGTTTCAGTGAAGAAATATCTAAACGACCAACACTACAGCACCAGCACAGTAACAAACAGCAGACAGAAACTGTTTGCAGCTAGCTGGTAAACACTCAATGTAATATTTAGCTGCCTAAGAGCCAATTTCTTTCCCCCCAGGACTCATGTAGACCAAAATCAGAGTTAAAAGAGACTGAAGATTGGACTTACATTCATTAAGAAGACAGAAACCCAACTCCAATTAAATGATAATGTTCACAGCTTGCTTCATCGCCCCAAAGGAAGTTGAAAATGTTATTTATTAAAGGTTTAAATATGCACTTAAATGTGTGTGATAAACAGTAAGGAGTTTAAAGAGCAAATGGACTATAATTATAACATTTAAAGATGTTCTTATTAGAAGCACATTTTGAGACGCTGGGACCATATTCCTGTTTTTTTTTTATAAGATGGATAAGCAGATTGATTAATTGAAGTACCGGCCCAATGAATCAGAAGTGCTGCTTTCTATTTTGTGTTTTCTTGCAGGAGTGCAGACTAAATTTTTAATAGCTTAGTCATTAACTGTGTCAGACTGTTTTCCATATTCCAGGAAAAAAAAAAATACTGTTCTGCTTGCTATCCATAGGAGACGTCTGTTTTGGCAGTGAGATAAAAGTATTTTCTTAAAGACCTCTCTTTCAACTGCTCCCTCTGACTGAAATCTAACTTTTAAAACAAATATCTAATGATAAGACATGTTCAGAACACTGCACGAATACCAAGTTAGTCACCATCGATCCTCAGAACGACCACTTAAAGGTCTGCAGACTTGGATCTCAGAACATGTCTGCTGCAGAGAAAGCCCTGGTGGGCTCTGAGAAAGGCCACGTCTTGGCCCGCAGTCCTTGTCTGAGCCTTTCCGCGTATACCCCGTCCATGAATCTCATCACACAGACGCACACTGGCTGAGCTGTCGGCCGTGCTTCTTTTGTAAATACTGGAGTGACTCTGGAATCTCAGACAGAGATTCTAACCAAGACCAACACCAAACCCTTGGTACTGAAACCCTGTCGTTAACCACATCCACCCAAAAATAATACACAAGTAGGATGATGTTAATACCACAAGTGTCTGATGCTGATCCAATGGAGTATTGTTTCCTAGTCTGTTTGAGCTTCGGATGGATTCTTAACTGCAGCGAAGTATTAATATATCCAAAGGCCCTTGTTAAAAACAGAGCCAGGCAGGATGATACAGTGAATTACTTTATAACCAAATACTGCATTTTAAACCTGAGCTCTATATTTACATATTTTAAGAGAACAATCGAAATATAGTCACAAAAAGTTTTTGAATTTCTCCAGCAGACTGGCTGAGTCATCTGAACAGGTTAAGATGGGTGCAAAGTAATCCTGCGGGGCAATTGTTGATAACTGTCTTGCACTAGACTGACTGGTTAACAGGGTCTACAATCTGGCGAAGTGGTGCAGTTGTAGTCCAGTATTTATAGCAGAGTTGATTGTAGATGATGTGCAGCTGTAGGCCAACTCCTGCACACCTGATCACACTCCTGTAATCAAGCACAACGCATAACACACACACACACACACAGACACACACACACACTGATATGTTGAAGCAGAGAGCGTGACATTACGTCCACTTATATAGCTTTTTTTTCTGCAGAAAACAAGCTGAGATCATGATTTAGTTTCTAATAGCATTGTGGATTACTTACCGAAATATATCTGTGTTTTAATGTAATATGGTTGTGTAAAAAATACACATCAGCCCATATATTGTTGTCAGAATTTTGAAAATGTGTTTCCATTTTCCTCAATAAATCTTGTAATTGTAAATTAATTTTAATGAAGTTCCAGCCCCGCTTCATTTCATTGGTTTACAGTGTCAACTATGGGCCGTGTTGGTAGTATTGACTACCAAGCTTGCTTGCATAAATCGAGTCTGATGCTGATGAAGACAAAGACTGTATAAAACATGGAAGAACTCTCAGTGACGTCAACCATTGGTTTTTAAAGAGGCAATATGAAGCCAAATGATGGTGGTTGCCATATTGGAATTGCTATCTCAGCCTGAATTTCTAACAGGCAAAGAGGTGGAACTCAGACAGGCTTTAAGTCGCCTGGTAAATTTGCTACTGCGCGCCCATCTGTCAATCAACTCAGTAATGCCCCTAATTATACAAATTTATTAAAAACTCTGAAGCCTAATTAAATGAAAACGGAGTTATAAAAAAAAATGTCGACCCCCGTACAATGTGCACCAATAATGAAATCTGCTCTAGAGACCAAAATCGCTTTTTGAACCATGCAGGCTGTAAACATGTACATTTCAAAATGGGACCTAATGGGGTTTCCCTGGCTTTTGGAGGACACTCAAGTGGACACTCGAGAAATTGCAGGCCTTTGCACTTTTATATTGGCTTCATTTTTTAGCACCAGAGGATACCACTTGGATGAAGGTGGCGATGCTGTTTGCGTTACAGTGGCCACCAAGGGCCATGTAGGTTATATAACTGATCAGTAGGGTATAAGGTCATAACTGGGGAGGGATCACCTTATGGACCTCTTATCTTTTCATAAGGGCACAAATATCTTGTGTTATTTCAAATTCATTACACTGGTATTTAAACTGTTGAAAGTTACAAGCTGCTTTACAACCCCAATCAAAACATTTTACCATTTGAATTATGACTCCAGGCTTCTTTAAAGTGCTTCATAGAGAACAAAACAGATTGTTTCTGAGAAGAATTAATTCAGTGTTTGCTGTGAGAGATCGGGAGCTCACAGAAAGTCAGTGCAGTGCCTCAACAATCAAAGAAAAGCAAATCCTTTGAGCCATCCCTCAGAATACCACCCAAGTCACAAAACCACCCAGCTTGAAAGAGAAACAGAACTCATCATGAAACCCACTGGGAGAAGACTCTGCTGTTTTTTGTCGCTGTACTTTTCTCTTTCTAAATTTACAGCACTGTGTCTGCTGCTTGTGACCCCGGGTGAGGAAGTAGCCCAGTGTGTCTGCCCTACATGCCCTGGCTGTTCCACGGCTGACCTCAGCACTGTTCTTAATCTCAACGGGATGGCAGGATTGCTGAGGAATTTCTCTGCTCGGTGCCTAAAACCAACCTGTCAAGACGCTCCCTTCAGGCTAAGCACGTTCCTCTGTTACGTCCCCGGCGGCTCTCACGTGGCCCCTCTTTGTCGAAATATGACCTCAGAATACCAAGACCTGGCCTTAGTAACCTCTCCAAACACTGCCCACCTACGTGCAGATGCATCCGGAAAATGTCTCTCCTTGCCACAGTATGTTCAGTGTACGCTGCAGGCAGATGGCAAAGCCCATCCCTGTCTCACCTTACCTACCTGTACGCTGGATTGTTTGTCAAGGCCAAATGAAAAGTGCAAGGCAGCCTTTCTTTCCTTTCCTTGGGCCTTTGCAGATGCTCTTCTCTGCTTGTGTAGGGCTAATGGGACTCCTCCAGATGTTGGTATAAAGCCCCACAGCTGAGCAAACAGTCGATGTCTTCTTTACAACATGACATGTTTAAAATGACACGCTGGTCCAAAAAGGAGGAGACCAGCTGAGATCTGAGAGGAACACAGCCAGCCAAACACTCATCACTTGATTGGTTTAATTGAAGGGGTCTGGAGGAAGCAATTTTGGTTTGACTTTTCAGTGAGTAAAAAAACACCATTAAGTGCCCAAAGTAAGTACAAACACAGGGATTTATGCCTAGTAGAAAAACAAACAAGATTATTTAGTTGGTGTAAATTGATTTTGAAGTGCAAAATCCTGCAGTTCGTCGAGTGTCTGCTTGAGGCTGGCTTGTGTCTCGATCAACACCCAGTACTGGGGGGGAATTTTTTTGACAACTCATTCATTTTGATTTTATAAAGGATAAGCGTTATTTCCAATAAGCATCTAGCTGACCTGACTGATGGATGAGCGTGATGTAATGGTTTGTCTGGAGGCTTAAAACCCGTCTTAGCTCCAACTCTCTGCTGGTTGTTAGGTTGACTGATTGAGACAGCATTTCTAGCAGGGCGACCGCCATTGATGGGACTCCAACTGGACGCTAGAGCCTCCTGCAGTAACAGATGGGTGATGTCCCTCAGGCACATCAATTAATGTTTACAGTCTATGCTCTGCACCAAATGAGCATTGTTTCACAAGCAATGTGATGTCAGGGATGGCGATGTCTGTCGATGAGTCAGTCAGCCCATCACTTGGTCCAGAATCATCTCAACAACGATTGGATGGATTCCGACACCCGCAGAGGATTGGACTGCTTACCACGGTTATGATCTGGATTTTCCTCTGGCATCACCACTGGGTTCAACTTTTTAACGTTTTTTAGTGAACGTGAATTTAGTTCATGAGAAAATATTTAAAATCAGAGAAATTTAAAATGTTCTTATAAGTGCTCACACACCATATGTAAGTAGAAAACAAAGGTGAAACTAGTCCAGAAGAGCTTCAGTCATGCGTTCTCTGTAATGGCCAACAGGTTGCATAAAGTAGTCTGACTGCTTGAAACCAGATGAGAAAAATACCCTACCATTGGAAACAAGTAAGAAATGACGTAAAGCTCTTGACTAATTATAATCTTTGCCAGTACAGCAAGATGTTCACTCAGTAAATCATGGTCCCATTAGGAGCTAAATCAGCGATAAACCCTGGTAGGCATTAGGGTTTGGCTAGAGTGTCAAGTCAGTACCACTGCTTGTCATCAACTAGGAAAGAGACGACGTAATGCATGTCCACATTGAAATATGGTCACATATTGTTTAAAGAACACAGAGGCGACGGCCAATTTTGATGCTTCAAAATTCATAAACCAGTGAGCAATGTCTCTTGGTTTCGTTGATCTTTACACATGGTATGGCTGTGCTTTGGTTAATGGCAATTGGCAAATATTAGCGTGCTAACAGGCTAAACCAGATGATGTAAACATGGTACAAATTGTACTTGTTAAGCATTAGAATAGCATATGTTGTCATTTTGTGTTAGCTGGCACATGTAAGAGCTGTCTGCTTATGTCCAGATCTTGACTTTAACCAAGACTTCTTTGAAGCAATCTCTCGCTGAAACCGTCACTGTCTGTAAATATTGTCCTGAAAAATTCCGAGACGAACAGGCCTGGAGTCGACTCAACAGGGGTTTGGGGAATTTTCCAGACACTTTCAATAACAGAGACAATCTACTCTGGCAGGGACGCACCTTGGCAACTTCCAACGTAAACCATTTCAATTGCGCTTAATCTCAGTGGTCCGCTGCTTTCTTAAAATGAGACTGAGCTCTGCTTTGTTGTAAATACCCAACATCTGTGCATTTAACAGTGCATACATTGTCTGGAGCCTGCATGTTTTCCAATACATCTTCATGACATATATATATATATATATATACATATATAGCTGGTTTGAGAGCGATTGGTTCAAGGTAAAAACATCTCTGAATCCGGTGAAGCACCACCCACCCCAGAGTTAATAAAATCAGCAAGGGTCGGGGTTTGTCCTTTCATTCCTTAGATGTTTGAAATAGTCTAGTGCTTGCAGCAAAAACACATTTGTCCTCAGTAGAACACATTTGTCATGACTCTCTAGAAGGTTATGTCAGGCTTCTCACTCAGAGAAAATATTCATGTGTTACTTAAACCCTGGTAATCTCAGACACTCCCCAGTGGACATGAATGATGCCAGGAAGCTGTCCCTTAAGCGGCTCTCCTGAAATGCGAAGAGGAAGACAGAGTGAGGTGAAAAGGCTCCCATTCATGGTGCTCAGGCTGTGTTTTAGTAGAAATGGCACGGCTGTATAAGATCCTGCAGGATGTGTCTTCACAGAGGTCTGTCAGCAAACATGCCGCCAGCGTCTGCCTGCAGCCATGTTTGTCTCTGAGGCCACAATCTGCACGTGTCACTCAAAGTAAAGGTCCTCCATTTAACAGGACAGAATACAGATTCATCCCTGCACAGTGTGAATATTCAAGTCGCTTTTGTCCAAATAAAGAATCCAGGATTTTAGAAAAATCTCATCTTAACCAGTCTGTGGCACATATATAATACAACGTGTGCAAGCAGCTGCAGCCAGATGGAAACTTTACACAAACGGAACAATTGTGATATTTGGGTGTTTTCCAAGGTAAAATTAAAGCTTGAGGTTATCTTTCAAAAGAAAAAGGAGAAATTGTTATAACAATAAATGCATCACCATCTTTATTGCATGGAATTGAACATACCAACAGAATGAGATTTTTTAAACATCGGTAATTACTACATTTTTCCTCATTTTCCGTTCACTCAGTTATACAACAGCACACATTCATGGAAATATTCTCCAACACACCATTCAACACAAAGTGAGACACTTGCAGACAAGACCAAAAAGTGGTGAAAGGATAGACTGTAGGTCTGGTGATAATTTGTATATTTATTATTGTCAACAAATCTACTTAACAAGAAAACTGGCAGTGAACCAGTTCTACTGAGAAGTGAAATCCTTCTACCCAAAGTCTCTATTTGTTACTCCTCTGTGATGAGAAATTCATAGATGTCCTTGAATTATTATGAGACATGCAATTTCATTTATTTAATCAGGGTGAACATTTAATCACGAGTTCATATCTTACACTGGGAATGATTTGCAAATGTTAATCCATGGCTGAAAACTGTTTCCTCTTATTTATGTCAGCGACGGATTCAGACATTTTTCTATTTACAGTTGTGGCTTGTTTGGGGTACAGACTCATGCAGTGGTGGCATGAAGTTTGTTTGTGCAAACACACAGGTGAATAGCTTTTATCTACTCTTTCTAACTCCACTAATTTTATGCACTTCAGCTACTAACATTTCAGTTTCTAAAAGACATTACATGCCAGTGTATTTTCTTTTACTTACTACAGAAAGTTACACAACTGAGTGGCAACAAATAAAGCCTCTAAGCTTAATTCTTTAAGAACTGAAGATAATATTTCATTTTAAAATGTTGTTCACAACATGTAAAAACAATAGAAAATGTACAAAATGTAATTCAGTGAATCCAAAGGAAGTACTGAAGCACACGAATCACTGAAGGCAAATGTATTTAGGGGGGAAAAGGACTAACTTTTCAACACACTGCGTGAGAGTCAGAGTCAAACCTTGACTATATTTTGAACGTCTTCACTCCTCTGAGAGCACAGACCTCTAACCGAGCACCGAGTGGCTGAAGCACAAGAGTTTCCTTCTACTTCAATAGAAAATTGATTACATTATAAATGCGAAGAAAGCTAAAAGTTGCCTGTCACAACACAAACCAAAAAGTTGATTTCAAAGTTAATCCGACCCCAGAAGATGTAAAAAATCAATTATAGTTAAAGGTGTTGGCCGATCAGATTTTGAGTGTGGCCCAAGTCACCCCGTGTTCTGTTCCTGTTTGGAAGAACATTCGGAAAATACTTCAGTGCCCAGCTGTTTTAATGTTTTAATATTTATTTCATTGCTGTTTTTTTAAACACTTTTATTAGCACCCTGTTTTTGTCCTCAGTGGGAACCAATAGGGAGAGACACGGTATGGATGTGAGAGAATGTGACACAGACTAAAAAATTACATGGCTGGTTTTGGTCTGTGCATAAAATCTGTTGACAATGATAAAAATATAGTACATCTAATCCTTTAAATAGAACTATTAAAAACAACATGGTGTGCACATAGCGGTAAAATAAACGAGAAACAACAAGACAAAGACAACATGCAACAATAAACGATTCAAGCTATTAACCAGCATTCAAGAAGTAGACCTATATGAAAACAGTACTTGTATTTCTTAAGTAAAAAAAAAAAAGAAGATGTTTATGAAATGAATCATGGCACATTTGTAGAGATACAATAATCAAGTAAATGTGAGGGTCTCATGTGGGAAATGTACAAAACAAATGGTGAATATGTTTGCATTTATTTCCAGTAAACGTAACACAAGACTAAACGAGCACTTTTACCAATTGCACTTTTTTTGTTCGTCATAAAGTCGATGTTTGCTGCACAGTTCAGGGAGAGATGTTTGCTGCACAGTTCAGAGATGTTTGCTGCATAGTCCTGCAGAGAGTTCTTGCAAAGGGAGGTTTCACCCTCTGAAAGAGGGAGGAAAAGAAGATGTAAAAAGCATCAAAAATAAAACACATAAGACTTGCATCATCTCTGTTGACATTACACTATCTTGCTCTATTTAATCCTGTAGTATGTAACCTATGTAAATGTTTTTCTAGATACAAATGATAAAAATAAAACACATCAGTCCATGTTTAGAAATACTCCTACCTTGTTACTCTGCAGTTGCGTGTCTGCACATAGATTCCCGTGTACGTGATATCACATCTCACGACGTTGTTGGTGAAATCTGACTCCGGCACGTGGAAATTTGGATTAACGGTAACCTGCAAAGATCATAAATAAAAAACGGTGTTGAGCAGCTCTGCAGACGTGTCTGCTAAAGGCTGGATGGAAATTCAACAGGACACGAGTTACCTTCAAGATGTAGTTTCCTGGAGGAACGTCAGTGATGTCGATCCACTGACAGTCGATGTTGGCTGCGTAGACGTCGTGGCATCCCGGGCTCAGTCCCTGAAAAACACAACCCCAACAACCCCCCAGGTTTGTTTTAAAGTTTTGACTCTTCAGACGGCTTTGAAAGCTTTGTTCCTACAAGAGCTGTAAATGAGGCACATTAGAGTTACACAAACAGCTCTTTGGACGCTGTTACAAGACACTCAACTGAGCAGTGCAAAGCCAGAATCACAGAGCCAGACAATACGTATAATAAATATTTTCATGCCCTGAGGATGTTTCTTTTCTTGGCTAGAGGGAGTTGTGGTTATAAAAAACATTCCTTAGAAGTGAAACTGGAGGATCTACAAAAGCCTCCACAACAAAAGTAACACTATAAATCAGGGCCTTGCTACCTCTACGGAGTTTGGTTTGACTCACTACAATTAAAAATATGTTTCTGATAGACCAACGTTGAACCACACAGTAAATAGGAGAGGTACCGGTTTTATGTATGGCAAGCAAAGAGATGCAAAATGTTTGCCTTAATATATAAGATCAATAGCCGGCTTTCTGGCTGTGATAAAATACTGACAAAAACCTGAAGATTTAAAAAGAAAAATTTCAATTAATTTTAGTCTTTTTGTGCCTTTGTTTGGAGATAGAACAGTGGACAGAGTCATAAATCAGGGAGAGAAGGAGCGGGGAAAGATGTGTGAAAAAAAAGCCACAGGTCGGATTCAAACCCAGTCTGCCTGCTTGGAGGACTATAGCCTCCGTACAGGGAGAGCGCCCTAACCACTAGTCCACAGGTGTCCCTTTTCTTAAAGATTTAAACCAGAATTCTTAATCTATCAATCTGTAAAGGAGCACTTTAACTTTTAGGTTTAGGCGTCAAAGTCTATTCAGAGTTCACAGAGAGTTTGAGACAACCTGTAAGAGTTTGAAAATCTCTGTGTCTTTGTAGGAGGTTTGACGGGACTTAAAAAAGTGTCATCACTTGAATATGCTCAGCCAGTGTGACAGGTTTGACATTTTTCACAAAGCCTTGAATTTTATTCTGAGAGGTCTAAAAGACGAACGATGGAGGCGGAAAAGGAAAACAACATCGAGTTACATTATCTACACTTTTCGATCTTATCAGATAAAAATCAGGATATCTAAGGCCTCAGATATTTAGACCTTCCTTTTGAACTTTTAAACTAATGTTTGTCATAAATCACTTTTTATACAATGATAGAGCTTTTTACAAAGGCAAATAAGTCAGGAACGTCTAAGCTCATTTTGAATTTTTTGGGGATGTTATCATAGGCAGAGAACAGCATAAAGGTTTGACCAAATAAATGAGAAAAGTAAATCTGTTAAAGATATTTGTAAGTGCAGATGTTTGTTCTCTTTCTACTGGTGGAAAAGCTGATTCAGCTGAATGTTTTCATATGTGCATATCCATCCTGCTTGTCTACATAATTAGCTCATTGGTGCTACTCTGAACAATCATTTCCTGGAGATTGTCATCGTGTCAAACTCGTCACAGTTTAGATAAACATTTGTGATCGGCCTGACCAGCACCAAGTCAGTTGGATGGAAACCAGACATCTGCCAGAGCAAACAAAAACATGAGCTCACAGATTAGTCTGGTTTCCAAGCTATGATCTTCATGGACAATTTGTAGACTGCCCAAAAGATAAACACGGATTAATCAAGGAACCCTTACACATACTGTACAGTACGTCTTGTCCAATTAAAGCTCCGACCTGCAACAACATTTGTCAGGTTTCAAAGGAACAAAAACCCTGGACGTATTCTGACATAGCTTTCCTATTACTTCAATAAAAACATTTAAAAGATGATGTAGGATTTCTTTTGTGTGTTGCCATTTGGAGCGAGTTATGTGTTTTCTGTATTTTCATTTTTCATCTTATGAAGTGCTGAGTTATTGAAATTTCAAGCTTTAATCAGGCTGACTGGAATGATGCTAGATACCCAACACAAAACTTGTAAATGTTCAACTTCTGGTGACATAGGAATCCAGTCATTTTCAATCCTATCCCAGCCTTCTTTGAGAGAGAGAGAGAGAGACGGAGTACATCCTGGACAGGTCACCAGTCAATCTCAGGGATGCACACTCCCATTCACCCCTATGGATGATTAATACTATACTTACAATACTTCATCTGATGAGCGTTTCTTTAGACTTCAAAGGAGGTTGCAAAACCCACAGGGAGAACGTGCAAACTCCACACAGAGTGATATTCAAACCGGGAACCTTCTTGCTGTGGGGTTAGAGCGCTAACCACTGCAGCACCATGCAGCCAAAGGTCATCTTTGACACACAGAGGCCTGCCCACAAAATAATCATAATCCCTGATTTCCTCAGCTCTCTTTTGCAAAATAATCTTGATCCCATTTTCTGATGACCCTGTTCATAAAATAGAACACGTCGACTTTACAAGCTTCTTAAGTGTATCTTACCTGTGTATGAGATGTACAGGCGTAGCGGCGCCTGAATCCGGGATCACAGCCCGTGTCCTCCAGGCAGAAACTGGCTTTATGTCCCTCTGCAACTTTAAGTCCAGAGACGGTGTCCAGCAGGTCGTAGTTACTGAAGGCGTCCATGCTGTGGAAATGTCTGACCAAGAACAGAAGAAAACAGAAAATAGTTTGTTTCTTGTGGCGATGCTAAAACCATATTTCTTCAGTTTTAAGGTGACTTAAAAGAGAGCGTGGTGCTACGTTTATATGATGGTAGGGCTGTGTGAACTCACTGGTGACAGCTATGCCAGTCCCACTGGTATCTGGGCTTGACAGGTAGGAAGTCAGTGGTGCCCTGATTCTTCACCTTCTGGGGGAACCTCAGGAGGACTCTGAAGTCGATGTCTCTCACGCTGGGTCCATATGCCGACCTTGGATGGATCACAGGAGGAAAAAGGCATGAGCTGCTTTGGAAAGTACTCCTGGCTGAGCTCCTGGAGTTCAGTTACGTTTAAGTGCAAAGGGTTTGTTCCATTGTGCTGAATGCTTTTGGGAAAATCAACCCAGAACATTTATGTGTTGGCATGACATCATGTTGAAGAGTCACTGCTCTATAATAAGATCAGACCGCTTCTTTTAACTTCATCAACAAAGCAGATAACCTTTAATATTAAACAAGTTAGACATAGTTCTCCTTAAAAAACATTTCCACTAAAACAAGTGAAACAAACCTTAAATGACCAGTTCAACAGAGGAAATACCTGTGTGTGTGTGTGTGTGTGTGTGTGTGTGTGTGTGTGTGTGTGTGTGTGTGTGTGTGTGTGTGTGTCTGCGTACTGGAGGAGTGAATCACTTTTGGCAGCACATGATTACCTGGCCAGACAGTTCTCCTCAGCTGCACAGCGGAGCGCGTACATCTGCATGCGCTGGATGTAAGCACCTGCTTGGATGGCATATGGGTCGGGCACCAAGTCTGGTAGACCTGAGGGAGGAGATTTAAAAAGACAGCACCAAGTTTTCAATATGGCTTTGTGATTCTGACAAACGTTTTTTGTCAGTTCATTTTTGGAGAACAATTCAAAGACAGACAGACAGACAGACAGACAGACAGACAGTGTTCTGGCTGCAGAATAAGAGCAGCTGTTTGTGTTTGTTGGCATTATTCAAAGTGTTTTACATTCCTGAGCTGTCAGTCTGGGACTCAAATCCCAAATGTATCTTTTTCCTCTTCTTGTAAATCACTTTTTTCTTTTCTGTGATCTTGAAATAAGACTAGGCTAACTACAAAAAAAACTCAAAAACTTCACAGTTAGTCTAATTTCTAGTCAAACAAATATCCTTTTACACTTACATAAGCCATGCAAATAACCAGTTAGTTCAGGTGTATAAATTCACCTGACATTTCTAGATAAACATCCAATAGTCTAAGACATTTGTATTGTTTTCATAGCTACAAAATCTACTTGGCATGTTTCTGGATCCGAGATCAATCTCTTATTTCAAAAAACTTTACAAGCAAAAGCTGTTTCCTGACAGATATTTTAACTCACTGCAAGAATTCCAGGCCTTATTTTTCACTGCATGGTCTTGAAATAAGATGTGTATCTAGACTTGGTCAGTGTAATGTTTCTTTTTTGGGGTAGAAATTAGACAAACACACTTGGTCATGGTCACATCTGAAACCTGTATAAGCCCTGTCACTACTGGTGGACACACCTAGCCGTCATTGTTTGTTTTAGATCAGTGAAATCAATGCTAACTAAGAAGGCCTATTCCATATAATTACTGAACCATACTCACCATTTTGGAAATATCTCGTTCCATACCCTGTGCCAGGCGGAAGGCGCGTGCGGGCTCCTGACCTCCCTCTTGTGGGATACATGTTGTGGAAAACAGAATTCCTGTGGTTTTTAAACGGGTTTCGAGGGTCATCGTTAATCATGTCTTCTCTATTACCAGCAGCCTCGTTCGCAACATCCTCAGTGAGCGCGGGGAAAGGAGCAGGAGCTGCAGATTCCCTCTCCAGAGCTGTGGGATGTGCTGGAGCTGAGTGTCTGGAGACAGATATGGCCTCTGGCACCGTGCGTAATTGTTGGTATTGCGCACCGGGAGCTGGATCTCCTCCTCTGGTATGTAGAGCAGAAGCGTCCCCACTGATACCTCCAACCCTGCCCGGAAAATCTGTCAAACTCCCCGCTGCAGAGGAGTTCATGGTCGTGGTGTGGTCAGGGATTACGCGTCGTGCGCCTGAATTGCCTGCAGCTCCTGTTAAGTAAGGGCGCTCTGCAGGATGCTGAGCTGTGGCCCCTGACGCACGACCATTAGTAGGTACATACTGTCTAAAATTCTGTCTTTGAGCTACAGATTCTAGCTCCACACCGCTAACAGTCCTCAATTGTCTAGATTCAGCCTGTCCAGGTCTTACAAGCGTCGCTCCTCTGTGCGCAACCGGCATTTGGTTCCTGGTGGCATCCCTCCTGCTGCTCATATAAACCCTCGACTGGCTCCTTGACCGAACCGGAGCCTGGTACTCTAATCCAGTGCTCATTAAGCTATAAACCTGCCCGTTGTTCTGCCATTGAACCCGTTGCCGCCAGGGCCCAGCTGTGCGCTGCTGCTGCCCAAAGATGAGGGGAAGTAGTCCTTGGAAAAGGTATAAAAATAAAAAAGAGAATTTCGCCATGGCAGAGGAAACTAGAAAATGAAATCGAAGAAAAATAAATCCCTCTTGTAAATCAATGCCGAACACGGTTATGAGATGATTTGCTCTGAGGAGAGTGGATGAGATGAAGGAGTGCGCTCTGAGCTCCTCTCACAGAACAACATATCAGGAGGACAAGTGGAGAGAAGAAGAGGGCTGGAACCTTTTCTCGGGTCGTTTATCGAATTCAGCCCAGTTCCCAACGCAAAGTTAAACTTTCTAGCAAGACAATTTAACCCGTGCATTGCCGGGGCGAAGTTGCGTTACACAAGCCTTACACAAGGACGTTTGCAGAGTAAACTTTACGCACTGGTGTGAACTGAAGTCATCTGAATGTGGCCGTTCAGCCTGGTTATTTTCCAGAAACCAGTCGGCCCAGTAGAGGAAAAGCTATCCGTGAAAAGTCTTTAGCTTTAGTTGTACTGTTAAATATACTCTATTACAACAATAAAAGCAAAAACACCATTCAAAACTCACCAAGACTATGTTTAGACAATAACGATGTCATTCAAGTTCAACAACGGTAAGTCCATCATAAATAATAAACAGATTTTAGATTTAGTATTATTTCCCAACCAAATCTACAAACACTTTAAAGAGACTTTGGAGAGACTCACCTGGTGAGCTTCATGCAGCACTAATCCTCCACCACAGGGCGGCAGGCTGCGTCTGTGTGTCACCATCCTACAGACACAGCAACCCTCCACGAGGCTCATTTAATCATACATCCTCGAAGTCCATTTTAGTTTAGTTGTTGTTGTTGTTGTTGTTGTTGGGATTGGCTGATTTTTCTTTAGTGACTATGAGCTTATAGAGCTTCTAGACTTTATCACAATCACCAGCAGACTCCTTAAGTTCTTTCAAAAGGTTTTAAAAGAGAAATAAAATAATCGTAATTTTTTTCCCCACTGACAACACAGAAGCAGTTCAACTTTCAAATATTTGAAAGATTGTTATACAATACCAAAATCATGTGTTAATCAGTATTTATGAATGTATTGCTTTTGCAACTTTGTGATTATTGGGGAAAGTTAAACACAAACATATTTCAGTTGTAGCAAATAAAAAATAAAAAATGTTAAAAAAAATTACCCCAAAACCAGAAAGTTAAAAATAAAATAAAAAGTAATTTCATTGTTTGCCCAGTAGAAAAAAAAACTTTCATGAGAGAAGAAGAACACAGAACAACTTACAGATATTAAAACATTATGTACATGTTTCTCTGAGTTGTAAAAAGTTGTCGAGATGACAAATGAATGCTGACAAGATGCTTCCTTAAAATCACATTTTTGATATTGTGGGAGAAAGTGATGAAGTTTGTGCAAAGTTTCAGATTGGAAGATGTTTCCATTCTTTAATGGCTTTAATAGAAAAAACAGATCCACGCTTCCAAGCTGAGCCACGTTTAGGGATACTATAATCTCAGTTTGAGGCAGATCTTCAAGATCTGATCATGTGCTCAGAGTGAAGTTAGTTATGAAAAAACAGAACACAAAAAAGTGAATTTCTGCATCGTCCTTTTCATGCCATGACCCCGCCTCTCCTTTGTCTGACAGGTTAAAAGCTCCTGCAGTGAGGGACAGGTGTGAAAAGGCAAGTCAGGAAGATTTTAGGGGCAGCCTGACGTAGTCGTAGATGTATGACAACAGCTACAGAGACATGTTTCTTTCTGGAGAGAGTTTCTCTCAGTGTTTGCGTTTATGTGACAATATATGTATTAAAAGAGGAGATAGATTTATTAAGGCTGCATGTGAACAGGGCAGAGGTTTGTTTTACCACTAGGTGCAGTAGCTAAACTCTCTTATGGTCCTACTGCTACATGTTTAACTCTATTTCACAACTCGACTTATAACTAAAGACTGTGGATAAATTCTGGAAGGATCACACACACCCCCTGCTCCGTAGCTCAGAGCTCGTTCCCTCTCAAATGAAGAGCCAAATAGGGCATGAGCACGGTGAGTCTGTGCACTTTTCTATTTTTAGAATCAAGGACCTTCCCCTGGTCTGAAGTCCGGCCCCGCCTGCTCTTAGCTGGTGCAGTCCAGATTTATAAGAGCCACAGATCCTCGGCACTGGTTTGGCACAAGACTTCCCGAGCAGGACATGTAAACCACAAAAATTAGCCAGTAAGTATTCATGTTGAATTGAGTCTTTCTTGTGTGTCTGACCTGAAAGTAAACAAATCACAACAAATGTTGCCACAAAAAAAAAGAACTAATCTTTACTGTAAGCTAGCAGTGTTTGGAAATAAAATCAACACTTTGTGGTTGTTTTCTTGGTACACCTACAGCAGCAGCAGCATCAGATCTTTGTCAGTGTGAAAGACTAATTCTTTTACGCTTTGAATATATCTTATCCCATGAATCTAGGTATCCAGGGCTGCTCACAGCTTTGCTTCTTGTGAGATTAAAGGAAGATGATGGTCTTAAAATGGTTTTACTACAAGAAAACTTCCCCCACAAGGAGTATACCTGTTGTCTTCCCCTGAGGCCTCACACTGCCAGTCTGAGGAGTTTACACCTAAATGATAGATCCAGAGGTTTACCACAGAGCATGGGGAGACAATGCAGGTGAGACGCTGAACCAAATGTTTGAGAAAATGAAATGTCGCTCTGTTATGTCCTGATTTGATTTGATTTTTTAAATAAAAGTAGTTTTTTTAACAGCTGATCTTAAATATAAATCTCTGATAAATGATGAATTACATGATGTGTGACATCTGCAGGTGGTCAGGGGTTCTTGTGACGCCTGTCTTGCTTATCGTTGACTAACCTTTGCCAATAATCAGCGCTGCCAGCGCTCCTTGTGTTTCAGAGTCAGGCAACCTGTTTCTGTATTCACGTTTTTCAATCTGCACGTGACAAATTGAGAGTGGAATGCGCTTAATATGTGAGCTATTAAAAACTGTCTCTTAACACGGCCAAGATATGAGGCTGTGACCTAATTACCCTCTGGTGGGAAGGGTTAGCCCCAACTGAAGGCTGCTTTTGTTTTTTTATATCTCTTTGTTTGATTAAAGTCTGATTAAGAGTGAAGATTAAAAGATCTGCAGTTACAGGAAACAGAGATACAATTTAAGTATCAGAACAAGAGTCATTTATCTGATCCTTAAGAACTTGATCAACATAAATAAATATTATCTGGCATTTTCTAGGCCGATCTAAGACGTATATGATATTTTTTTTAACTTTATCATATCTAGAAAATCCATTTAATTATGTTTGAGATGACAAACATGAATAGAATCTGTGAACATGAAAAGATGTACACTACTAGTCAAAAGTTTAAACACACAACATTTACAGTATTATCAATAATACAGTATACTACCGTATATTATTATAATTTACTGTAAGCTGTATCTTTATTTTTTACTATTTTCCACATTTAAGATTAAAAGTAGATATTAAAACATTTCATTTCATTTTTGATTTGGAGAGAAATGCATACATATTATAGGCATCAAGAAACACATATCAAACATTGAAGCATAAACCTTTGGATCAAAATGTCTTCAAGGTAATAAGATGCATTTCAATCAGGTGTGTCCAAACATTTGACTGGTACTGTATATAAATCAGGCTTATTCAAATAAAACATTAAGCAAGACAATTAACAGAAAAAACAACATAATTAAGTTCATGAAAAGACACCTAACAAAGCTGAGATCTACATAGTAACACTTTAAAGAGCCCATATTATGCCCTTTTTGGGGTTCGTATATTTAATCTATGTACCTACTAAAGAATGTTCACAATAGCTCAATTTAAAAAAAGTGTCTGTTTTCATGTACTGCCGCTCCATGCACCGGCTCGCTTCTGACTCTCTCTCTAAGGCTCTGAAGTGCCCACAATCAGAGTCCCCACGTGTGCCAAGTCTGATCTGATTGGTCGGCCTGTCGGCTCTGCCGTAATTGGTCAGTTGCTCAGCCACTCTGGCTCCGAGGGCCGGGGAGCAAAAACATTAGCACCTTAGCATTACTATGCTACCACAGGCTACGGCATATCGTGGGCGTGCCACAGAAGTTAACGGGCAAACAACATGAGCTGCTGGGCTTGCCACAACGAGCCAATGGGCTTAGATCAGTGATCTCACACTGACAAGACGTCACACGTCTAGAACCGAGTGTTACATGCAGCTAATGCTACAGCTAACAGGAGGACGTAGGAAAAGCCGCGTTTCTGCGGACTTTGAATTTTTGCAAATAGATGTGCCTAAACATGCACAGGACACTTGGAAAACACACTAAAGAGCATATAAAACCAGAAAAAGCATAATATGGGACCTTTAAATCCTAGCTGTAGTGTTAAAGGTGCACTATGGAGTTCTGGTAGAGAAATGTGAAGGTTGAAGGTAGGCCTAACCCTAACCCAAGTGTAAAGATTTTGTGGTATATGTTCATAACTCTAAACACAAACTGTCCTCAGAGGAAAATTTGGTTCCTGTAACTGTTTGAAGATAAAATGCAATGTGAGAAGTTATGGTGGTTGGTCCGCAACAGTGAAACTGTAACTCTCCTGGTAGCTTTTTAGCTCCAAACAGTGTTAAGGGACCCGTTTAAAAAAAATAAAGTTTGTGTATTTAGTTCAGAAAGTATAGCATATCATTGTTTCACTTCTCCAACTTTCATATTTCACTACCAAATCTCCACAGTGCACCTTAAAGATATATGTCTAATTATGTTCGTTGTAGTGCGTCTTTATAAATATTTTAATGCCCTAAATACAATTAAGTCAAGTTTCTTCATTACTTTGTTTTCCAGAGATGATAAAATATTAGAATAAAGAATACTGTTCAGGAAGGGCTGCCACATCCCCAAAGCACGCCAAGAAAGAGAGAAAGAAGCATGAACGTGAAAAAGACAGAGAACTATGTGACTTTTCTTAGGTCGTATTTAACGATTTAATGTTAGGACTTAAGATAACTACAGCAATAAGACGCTGTGAATCTCCTCTCTCTGTCCTCTGTTTGGATGTAATGACGCTGGAGAGAGGGCAGCAGTTGTGTACTTCTCACTTGCACACTCACTCAACGTGTCATGAAATTTCCCTGTTACTGCAAACCAATCAGGACCAAATGCCAGTTACATAATCAGACACTATGCTGCCGTCAAAATCAGAACAAGTGATATATATACATGGCCAAGGTGTTGCGTTAATAAAGAACTTTACTCTACTTCTTCATAGATAGATAAAGTTGTATATATAGTTCACCTTTGTAAACCCATGTTACAAAGTTCTTTAAACACAAAGTGGATGGATACAATAATTATATATATACTGTGTATAAAAAGAGCAGTGGTAGTCTTGGTAATAAACTGAACAAAATGACAAAATAAATGTAATAATAATATCCCAAAGGCCCATCTAATATCTACAATAACAGCACATCATAGATCCACTCAATCCCAGAGCAATCAAAGGGGTGAGGTTATCTTTTAAAACATTTTTTTTTTTTACAGTGGGTCATTAAGAGTTTTAATAATTCAGCCATCAAATCACTTAGGTGTGTTCATTGGCAGAGAGGAGCATGTTCCTTAGTCACCTTTAGTTTGACATGTTATTGATGTAATCACCGGGAGATTGTAACAGGATGACCTTAGCGTCTGTTCTGTGATGTAAGGGGTTCAAAGCTTTGACATATAAACAGGGGCTTCATTTTAGGCTTTCAAAATAAAATAAAATAGATCTTAATGTGAGAAATCTGATTGTTGACTAATATATCAATAGATAGTAAAAATGTCCTTCTAGATGTTTACTAAATTACGGTCTGTTCTAAAGTATTGATTGAGTGTTTCAGTTGTCCAGTAGCAGCGAGTCATTCATTCAGTGCTCTAACACAACTGTTCACATGCCTCTTGGGGATCCTCACTCAATCATATGGGGGGGGGGGGTGGCAGCATGTGACAGCCGCTCGTCTCCTGTGTCCCTGCCTTTCCACCTAAATCCCAAATATGGACGCCCCTGCTGTACTTTTTAGGGTTGCCATAGCGGCGAGTGACATGGGAGCACATGCCACCCCGCATGGTTCTCACCTTACCTTACCAATCCCCCCCCCGCCCCCTATGGTGGCATGATGGGACTGGCCCCTGAGTCAGAGCCGGCTGTGGAGCGTAGGGTGGGTGTGTGCAGGTCAGTAATTGGCTGTGCACTTGTTAAATATATTTTCCCTGACACCCCCGGCACTTGGCCTAAATATAAAGTGACAGAGCACCCTCAGCTGTAGACCAACTGTTGGCATGAGAAGACTCTCAGAAACGCATCACAAGACCCTGACCCCCCCAAATACACGCCCTATGCCAGGTCCTGGGATGTAGCTGGGTAGTGTGCAGTGTGAGGCGATAAAATCATGAAAAACTAGAAACATACAGCCTTGAATATGGCTTAGCGTGTTAACCCTTTCATGTCTATGTCATCGCTGCGGGGCAGACAAAAAGGGATTCAGTAAACGGTTAGAAATATAACTGAAGATAAGAGTTGCAGCCTTCAAGGTCACACTATAAGTCACAGACATCAAAGCGACAATAAAAGTGAAAATTTACCGCTCATTGTTTCACCTCATTTCTGTGATGACTGTGTTGGCTCGGGGGCAGAGCTACGTGGACGGCTTTTTCAAAGGATACTCAATCTGTAAGACGACCTGTAAAGACTGAAACGAGTTGACTGAGTGCATGTTGGGGAAGACATTTGTTCACTCATACTGCAATGTCACATTTATTTAAAAAACAGAACACGCTGACCTACCTGTAAGTGCTGAACGACCGAGCACACAGACAAATAAAATCAAATCACAATCAACAATAGAAGACTGAGAGCACCATCACACAGGATAATACCAGGATGCATCAGTCATTGCACAGCCGTCCAATGAAATAAGATGCTTCTCCTTAGTGGGGCATGCATGCTATATTAAAGAAGAAACATTCAACACATAGAAATATAAACGACAAAATATCAATACAAATATAAAGATAAGGAGTCACTATTGCACATTTGATAAATTAATCTTCATAGTCCTGTCTTACTGCACTTATTTAATACAGTATAAAACTGGATTATAATGACAATAAGAAAGAGTTACAACAAATTAGAGAAGAGCTAAAACCATAGTAATAATACAAATTATAAAATAATTACTAAACAAATATATTATACATATACATACAAGAAGAATGGCGGACGTTGTAAAAGAGGCTCTCTGGGAAACTAAGGAGGACAAAATTCAACATATTGACCAATAAATTAATAGACAGGAACAGATTTAAGAGTAAAGAGACACCAGTGGCTGCAAACTAGATCAACTTTAATGACATGTGTGAACAAACAGAGAAAATAATAACTCAGCTTAAAGACAAAACTGAAAACATCAGCAGACGATCACCAATCAGAAAAAAAAATGAGCTTATTCATGTTCACACTCACTGCTGTGCTCGGATGCCTGATTTGAGCATAAATACAAACACCTTCCACAAGTTGTGTATCTTTCTGAGATTGTAATCATTTATATATTTAAAGCAACAAGTCTCATGATAAAGTTATATCATTCCAGGTGTACAGGTGGCTCATTAAAA